GTAAGTAATTATCTTATATGAAAATTGTTCATAAATGCGATCCTTCTGTTTCAAGATGACCGTCCTTCCACAAGCGCTAGCGCAAGGAATTTTCTTAAAGGCGGAGAATGGAATGGAATTGAGGACCCATGAGCAGGGGACTCAATTCGCGGAGGAGCACGGCTTGATCCCAACTACCAGTCTGTGCCCCGTTCATAAGGTGCCCATGAGTAGGCGAAAGGGCGGCAAGTTTGGGTTTTTTCTATGCCACCGTGGAAATTGTGCCAAAAGGACCCGTATATCGGTAGCTAAAGGGACGTGGTTCGAGGACGTCCGGATAAGCGTGCCCCACGTTTACTACCTTATGTACTGCTTCGTTGAAAACTTTTGCCGCGAAATGGTTCTACGCCAAGACTACGTAAAAGAAGAAAAAACTCTCTCATCTGCGACTACCACCGACTGGTATAGTTATTGTCGAGAAGCGGAAGTTCAATAAAGGTAATTTTTGTTCCATTGTAGTGTTATAATTGTAATTTTCCCTTTCCTATTTTCAGGCAGACGAGTGGAGGGTCACTGGGTCCCGGGCATGATCCAAGATGGCAGTGAGGATCTACGCTTGGAAGTATGTCCTGATAACTACAGATCAGCGGATATTCTTATTCCGCTGATCAAGAAGCATGTGGCCGAGGGGTCGATTATAAGGACGGATTTCTGGCGCGCATATGATTGCCTTTCTGATAATGGTTTCACCCATCAGAAATTCAATCATAGCGACGCCATTAATCCGTTTATCGCAGAAGACAGGGCCCACACACAGCGAATTGAGTCGCAATGGAGGGTGGTGAAACGCTTCTTCTCTACGCGAAATTACAACCACACCGGTAATTTCGCTGATGTGGTAGTCGAGTACCTGTGGAGGTGTAATATTAAAAAGGCCAAAAAGGACATGTTTTTGGCTTAAATAGAGGCCATTAATTATGTCTATGAATTACAATTGCAAAAATAAATATATTCTACTCTATTTATTATTTTACTTCTTTGGACGCCCCTTTTTGCCGCCTACGTAGAAAGGTGTTCTCAGCAACAGGTGTTCAGCTCCTTTTCTTCGCAAAACAGAAAGAGAATTCTACTTTGTGAGGGTTATAATCCCTAAGTGCGGCCGAAGGCCACCTACGCAGAAAGGTGTTCTCTGCGAAATGTGTTCATCCCCCCTTCTTTCGCCTGATAACCACCTTGGGATAATTTGTTTTATTTAAAAACCCCACAGATTCTATTAGTTGGGTTGTATTCCACTTCAAACTGCTCAATTTCCCTCGGTAAATGCTGTTTTTCGCCCATTTTCAAACGGTTCCCTAGGGGTCTGTGGGAGGCCCCGAAGGGGGTGCGACTTTTCATAAGTGGGGGCTGTCCCCTTTCGAATGGGGGGGGGCGTTAGGGGGCCACGCCCCTCCCCCNGGGGGGGGGGGGGGGGGCGTTGGGGGGCCACGCCCCTCCCCCTCCGCCCCCCACCCCAAAAACGACCGGCAAATAACTAAACATTTCCCGGTTTTTATGATGTTTCTCTGACCAGGGGTCGAACCCAAGCCACTGCGGCCGCCAGTTTTTATTGCTTATTCTTTTTATACCCAAGCGCACTTGTGCACAAGGGTATGTATATTAATTTTGTTCACATAACGGTTGTTTGTAACAGCCAAAACGAATCGAGATAGATGTAGACAAATGTATACATAAATGCTCAGAACGAATAGAGAAATCGATTAAGCCATGTCTGTCTGTCCGTCTGTCCGTCCGTCCGTCCGTCCGTGTACACGATAACTCGAGCAAAAATTGAGATATCTCAACGAAATTTGGTATGTAGGTTTCCGTTAATCCAAAGTAGGTTGGTATTGAAAATGGGCGAAATCGGACAATAACCACGCCCACATCCCATATAACGGTAATTTTCGGAAATACGAAAACTGCGACATTTTAGTAACTACTGAAGATTATTCACTCAAAATTGATATTTACAACAATTTTTAGACGAAAAATAAGAATATTATAAATTCTTGGAAAATGGGCGCAGCCACGCCCACTTATGGTTACATGTGTATATCTTGGTAACCGCTGCACCAATTTCTTCTAAACTTGGCGCAGTTATTGGCATTGGTACAGCATACCATATGGCCGAAAATTTTTAAAATCGGACAATAACCACGCCCACATCCCATATAACGGTAATTTGGAAAAATACGAAATCTTCGATAAATCAGAAAATATTAAAGCTAATTTATTCAAAATTGATGCTTCCAACAATTCTCTACCAAGAAATACGTTTATGGTAAAATTTTGGAAAATGGGCGTGGCACCGCCCACTTATGTATATCGGTAACCGTTCTACCAATTTGTACCAAACTCGGTATTTTTATTGTGCTTGCCACATAAAAGCAAAACGTTGAAAATTATTGAAATCGCACTAAAATTACGGCCGCTTTTCATATCACGGTAAATTTCAGAAATGCTTTAAACTGCAATATTTCGAAATTTAAGGACGCTAATTTACTCAAAATTGATACACCCCGGCTTACCATCTAGCGGTAGCTTTCGGAAAGGCGAAAAAACATATATTTAATACTTACGCCGGGTATTTAATGTTCGGCACCACCCGAACTTAGAACTTCTTACTTGTTGAAATTAAATTTACAGCGATGATGACAGATGGATAGCCACTTAAAATGTTTTTAATAGACATAGTTACGTAAGTACATTTTATTTAAATACATATAGCCATTTCCACAGCACAGAAACATAAAATAGAACATTTTTTTCTTTTGTTTTTATTTAATTCTTTTATTATATAAATTTTTTTTTTAACAGCATTTATAGGTAATTTCACGATTTTAATTTTTTGAATTGTATATCGAAATTGACAGAAAATAAGAAATCATTTTCATCAGAATTTAAAATTAATGAAATAGTTAGATTTTATATAGGTTTGTACTCATATTCATATGTAAAATTTCTCCTGTTATAACGGATTCCACTATTTATATTAGTTATATACCAATATTGTTTTGCTTCGGGTTATTTTTTACCAATATACAAACTCAGTATCTTCTTTACAAAATTTTACCTTAGGATAATTCGCAGTTACCGAGAGTTACCAATTTCCTGTTACGTGAGTTACCGTATATATTTTTTTTTTAATATCTTGAAATGGAATAAAAGTTAACAATTAGCTAATGACAGCTATTTCTCAGGATTTTAGATTCAGCAAATACTCTCGAAACTCATGTCTCAAAATTGTAACGTGAGTTACCGATATATTTCAGCTATTTTGTCTTTTAATTTTTTTACATACATCTTTAATTAGACACTAGTTTTACTTTAGTTTTCGTGTGAGCATGCATCTTAATGTAATTTGAATATTAAATAGGCATTTATGTACGTACGCATTAAGGTGGAGTGAAAATGCGCTTTAAAAATTTTAAAGACGATGCTGAGTTTGTATATATATATATGTATGTAAAAAGTAACCCAAAAAAAAAACAATAAATAGTTTAATTCTTTATTACAGAAGTAATTTTACATATGAACATATTTATATATGTATGTACATATTTATATAAAAATTAAAATATTAGATATATTGGTTGGCAATTCAATTCAATATGATTTTAAAGTCTGATACAATATATGCTATTAAAAACATGTAAGAAAGTCTAAGTTCGGGCGAAGCCGAACATTAAATACCCGGCGCAAGTATTACATATAGTTTTTTTGCATTTCCGAAAATTAACGCTACAAATGTAAGCAGGGGTGGTTTTGCCCCTATTTCAACCATCTTTGATAGAACGTTCAGCTAGACATAATAAGATAAACTTACATGGTCATATGTGGGCAGTATCACGCCCATTTTCCGAAATTCCAAATAATTTACTTCTTTCCAAAAAATTGTTGTTAGCCTCAATTTTGAGTAAATTAGCGTCCTTAAATTTCGAAATATCCAAGTTTCATGCATTTCTGAAATTTACCGTTATATGAAAATTGGCCGTAATTTTAGTCCGATTTCAAAAAATTTCAACATATCACTTTCTTGAATCTGGGTTGATAAATGTACCGAGTTTGGTAGAAATTGATAAACCGGTTACCGAGATGCACATATGTAGGCGTAAGTGGGCGGTGTCACGTGTTTTAATTCCCTTAACAAGTATTGATAATTGTTGTTATTGCATAAAAAAGTATTGTAAATTGTTTGTTATACAACAAAGTTAATTGTACTGTAATTTGATCATCTTGAGCGTTTATTTAACAATCCAGCGATACGAACCGGAACTATTTTGGAAAATCCGTCCACTAAACAAGGATAAAAATAACAATATGTGTGTAAGTATGTTTATTTGTCTCGCTTCTACTACTGGCTACTGTACTGAGAAAAGTATTGCACTTTTCGAAACTTTAGATTGAGTACAATAATTTCTGAATACCAGTAAATGTACATATATAAATGATCCTCGATGCCCCTAGTTTTAGTCAAAATAGCCTCTAAAGTTAAAAAACAGCTTTTTTGAAATAGCTGCTTTAGATCTAAGGGTCGACTTTATTTTGACTATAAATACGATCCTGAGTACATGCATCAGAGTGACCAATCGGTACAGAGTATTTTTAATTACCGAGTACTTTCAAGTTCCGAGTACTTTTAATTTCTGCTGAGTACTGAGCACTTTGGAGTACTCAGCATCAGTACTTCTAAAACCGGGGACTGTCGATCCATTTGAGAACCAGGGGTCGAATCGTCACAGTCGTGAACGAGACGACAATCGTACGATCGAAAATTTCGTCATTCGATCTTCGAATGCACATTATCGGATGATTACATTCGAAAGCTGACGAGTCGTAATTGAATGTTTGTTTATCGATTATTTTTGTCTTCTTCTTCCTATTTGGCAGTAACAATAGACGTTGAAATGTCAAAATAAGTGAATCAAAAATAATAAAAAANACTTTTATCTTCTTCCTATTGGGCAGTAACAATAGACGTTGAAATGTCAAAATAAGTGAACCAAAAATAAAAAATAAACTGCAAAACAAGATGGATCCAAGTTTTTAGTTTTATCTTAGCTCAAGCGACAGCGAAACGGATGAAAAAATTGTGCGCAAACAGTTGCGGGACAAAAGCGATCCGCTGGCTTTATCAAATAATGCGTAAGCACTATAAATGTAGTAAATGAGACAGTCATCTAAACTTTTAATTTTGCAGATTCATCAAGCGATTTCGGCTTAACAAGGAAGCATTCCAACATGTCCTCAAAAAAATTCATTTTTTGAGCCATGACACCAAAGCCGTTCCACCAGTCCTGCAATTAGCTGCTAGTCTTTCTCTTCTTGGTAGTGGCACCAACACACGGTTGGAAGTGACTACTTAGTCGGAATGTGCCAGAGTACAGTGTCCAAATTAACTTCCCATGTTCTTTTGCAAATGGAGAATAAGCTATGCCCGGAATTTATAAAATTTGATGCGGACAACTCGCAAACATGTAAGGAGTGGTTTATGGAGAACTACAGAATACCCGGAGGTAAATAAAAAACCAATGCACCTTAATATAAACAGTTTTATGTATGTAGATATGTACATATATTGAATTTATGTACATCAACCTTTTTTGTATCACATAGGTTTGCGGAAGCCAACCCAAAATGAACATATGTACTTCAATAGGAAGGGCTTCCATAGTCTTAACGCTATGATAGTAAGTTTTTCATACAAAATATTAAATATTTGTTAACAAATACACATTTATTTGTATGCATACTTCCAAAGATTTGTGACCACACATACAAAATTCTAGCAATCAATTGCCAATATGGAGGAGCAGCGTATGATTCGTTTGTGTGGAAAAACTCAAATCAAAGGAGGGTTTTGGAAGAGCGATTTCAACGGAATAGGAATGAGAATTCGTGGCTACTTGGTTAGTTTTATATATATTTTATTCATTGAAGTTTAATTTTATTTAAAAGAATCTTTACTTGTACTTAAATAGGTGACTCTGGCTATCCGCTCGAACCGTGGTGCATAACACCTTACAGAAATCCACTAGATGGGTCAAGTGAGTGCGCTTTTAACGAAATACATTCAAAAGCGAGGTGCATTATTGAACGTACAATTGGAATATTAAAAGGTCGGTGGAGAATTTTAGTAAACGACAAAAGAGGAAGGTACGATCCTGCAAAAGTGGCCAGATTTGCAAACGTTTGTTCAGCATTACATAATGTATGTTTGAATTATAAAATTGATTACAATCCCACATATCATGAAAGTGAAAATCAAGTTGAAATAAATGTTGGGGAAGAAAGTCAACTCACCAAGTAGGTCATACTATAAGAGATCAAATAAAATCTTCGCTCTTAAACTAAAAGATTTTATTGCTTTAATACCTTAAGTTTTTATGTACATACGTTTAAAACTTTCTCTGTAGAAATAAGAAGCAACACTCTAAATTATAGTAACTGCTTATGGAAAGCTGAATAAAAGACATATTTATAGTATCACTTTGGTTTAATTAATTTCATGAGATCATTCGTCATAAGACGTACAGGTAATAAAAAAGTAAAAAAATTCAGCAGCTAANAGAATTAGCTATGCCCTGAATTTATAAAATTTGATGTGGACAACTCGCAAAAATGTAAGGAGTGGTTTATGGAGAACTACAGAATACCCGGAGGTAAATAAAAAACCAATGCACATAAATATAAACAGTTTTATGTATGTAGATATGTACATATATTGAATTTATGTACATCAACCTTTTTTGTATCACATAGGTTTGCGGAAGCAAACCCAAAATGAACATATGTACTTCAATAGGAAGGGCTTCCATAGTCTTAACGCTATGATAGTAAGTTTTTCATACAAAATATTAAATATTTGTTAACTAATACACATTTATTTGTATGCATACTTCCAAAGATTTGTGACCACATACAATGGCATTGTTGTTATATTTTTTCGTTTGTACACGCTTTTGTTCTTCACTTCTCAAATGCTTTTTCGAAATTAATAAAAACCAAGACAAAAATTAAAAATTACATGTTGCCTCTGA